GCAATCAGCTTGCCAGGGAAGTCAGGGCTTGCCCCCGTGCGCTGGGACAGCTCTAAAATTCCTGTCTCCATGTGTAATGTTTGGACCGTTTCTGAGCACCATCACCCGGCCTGTATTACATCCTTGACACGTCTGCAGATACTCTGAGAGAGGTGGAGTTGAGCGAAAGAAGTGAAGCCCAGGAACAACTGAGCAGTAATAGTTCCAGTCCGACACAAGTGCTATTTTGGTATCTTGGCCTTGTACCTGACAAATGGATGGGAGTTCTGAGTGGAAACATAGATGTCCATTAGTATGAGAAATCAAGGAACGGGTGCGCCCCTCATAATGCCCTCTCTACTCTCAGCTACTTGGTCACTTCACCTTGTTCCCTCTTAGGACAGGAAATATGCTGGGGTCATCTGATGTCCAGACCCAACTGCCACTTTCATTTAGCTTGTCCTTAAAATGCCCGACAGGAAAATAAAAGACAAATTACGATAACACTCACTTTAAAGCCTACAAAACACACAGTGTCCTGTGAGGCATGTGCTCTTCACAGCAAACCAGAGGGTCAGCAGGGCTGATGCTACTATGCTTATCTTACCGATGAGGAGATGGAGGCACAGAAGTTAAGTCAATTGGCCAAGGTCATGGAACTGGTGACATCAAAGCTCAAATCCAAGATTCAACTGGTCGGAATTCAAGCCCAGTGCTCTTTTAGCTCACCATTTTTTTTTTTTTTTAAGCACAACCACCAGGGCTAGAAGCAAAAATGCATAGAGAAAATGTGGGAAAGTATGAGGGCAGGGTGCTAGAGTGAGGCTCTGTCCCACTCAAAGACCCCCGGGTGGCAGCCCTATAAATGAGTGCTGTCATCTGCCCCCCTGAGCCTGGCCACCCCGCCCCCTGCCATGGCCTCCGCTCCTTTCTGCTCTGCAGCCACTCTCCTCAGCAGGCCTGCTGGTGTCAGGAGCCACAGGGCTGCAGCTAGGGTCCCCTTGTATTGTCCAGAATCATAAGGAAACAGGTGCTTTGAAGGGGTCAAGCCTTGACACCATGGCTTGGCCCCTTCCTACTCTTGCCCAGCCCTGCCATGTCCCGGAGAGCCACTGGCCACATCCTGCCTGCCCTGTGAGGCCGACCAAGGCTGAAAAACACAACTCCATATTAATATTTGTCATTTATTGGTTTCTCACTGGTAAGGAGATAAATATCCTTTTCCCCAGTTTACAGAAGAGCAAACAGAGGCTCAGGAAAGAATATTGACTGAGCCCAAGGTCACATAGCTAGTTCACGGCACAGCAGGGACCACAACGGAACAAAGGCTGCCCTTTGCTAATCTCGGTTATCACATGAGCGCACTGCAGCCCAGTGCAGGTTAGTGGGGACCTTGAGGCCCAGAAGAGGCCAGGTTGACAAGCCTGGGAAAGGAGCCCAGCTCTCCTGGCTCCCAGGCTGGGCCTCCAGCCACCGGACCACGCTACTCCCCCCGAGTAAAATAATCTGGAACTGGACACTGGATCTCACTAGACCAAGCCAGGCAGGTGCAGAGGTATTTTCCAGATGAATATTACGGAAAAGAAAAAAAAAAAGGGGTTTAGGTTAATGTAGAGATCTATGGCCCAAAATACCAAAAGGGAAAGTACGGTAATTCACAGAGGGCTTAAAAAGAAAACAAAGGAGGGAAAATTGAAACAAAAGCTATCTCATTGACGATCTGCCATTTCCTTTTTTCCAGTTGCTTTTTTTTCCCCTCTTGGGAAACTGGCATCTGTCTCTCTCCTCACCAAGCACATAACATGTAAAGACAGGGTCTGAATGGCTGGGTCTAACGAGGCATTAATAGAATGCGGCTGTGGAGCCCAGATATTCACAGTTCCCCGCAAGTACACCAGGCTGCTCTGTCCACGGCCAGGCAAACGGGCTCCCACCTGCTTTGGAAGCTATTTATTGACACTTAGTGATTTAGACAAGGCCATGGGCTTTAAAACAGGCCCCTTTCCTGAATTTTATTGCCTGGTTCCATATTGTTTGACTGAAAATAATTAACTTTCCATAACATTACTCATGCTGAGCTTTCATTTAGCAAAAGCAAGGTTAAAAACAGGCAAAAGCTTAGCATAAAACAAACAAATAAGTAAATAATCAAAAAAGAAGGAAAATCCACCTCTAAGCCATTCACCTTTTTTTAAAGTTTGAAAGAACTACCAAACTTTTGTGAAGTTGCTAAACCAAGGGAGCATTTAAAGGAGCCCTGTGGTGAGGCAAATCGTTCTGCTCTGCCACCAAATGAAGACAGGTGATTCTCAGTTGTCCTTCCTAATGGCTGTAGCTAAAATGGACACACCTTCCCAAGCAGCTTTGGCGGGTTCATTTCATCTGCTATCAGATCTGATGGTAGGTGAGGTAGGCAGGATTTCTAGGAACGTCCCCCAAGATTCCACACCCTGATGCCAGATCCTGGGAAGGTGTTGAAATATCACATCATGTTATGTCATATGGCACAGTTGACCTTCAAAAGGGGAGATAATCCAAGCGGATCTAATCTAGTCACATGGGCCATAAATGCAGAGACATTTCTCCAGCTGGTGGCAAAAGAGGAAGGCGGAAGAAAACAGAGAGATTGAAGTATGAGAAGGACCCGATGCACCACCAGAGGCTTGAAGATGGAGACCACATGAGAAGGAAGGCGGGCACCCTCTAGGAGCAGAGAGTGGCCAGGCTGACAGCCAGCAAGAAAACAGAACCTCAGTCCTACAACCTCAAGGAACTGGATCCTGTCAACAACCTAATGAGCTTGGAAGCACAATCTTCCACACAGCCTCCAGACAGAAGCCCACCCAGCTGCCATCTTGATTTCAGCAAAGCCCAACAGAGCCCACCTACACTCTTGATCTATAGAACTGAGATAATAAATGGGTTTTGTTTTATGTTTATGGTAATTTGTTACAGCAGCAATAGAAAACTTACACAGTTGCCAAAGATGAATCATGACAGCACTCAAAGACTGGGGCAGAAACAGAGAAAAAGCTAAAAATCAGGGCAGGACTGTGGAGAAGAAAGAGCAGGGACAAGATTTCAGGCTGGGACCCACTAAAGGCCACCTACTGCCATTTCAAGTCCTGGTAAGGTCAACCCAGATCATCAGAGAACTTAGAAGTAACTAGAAAAGTCTCTTCTGATCTCTAAGAGTTTTTCTCTTTTCAAATAGTGAGTTTTTCTGCTCCTGACCAATGGGTTCCAGATTTTCCTCAGTCAGGAAGTTCTGCCAGGTGTGCCATGAGGATGATTAGAGCTGTGTGAAATATCCACAAGGCATAGCCTCCTGGCAGAGAATGAAGAGTGCCAGGACAAGGAGGAGAGGCCATCCTCTCATAGCCTACTACCCCCAGAACCCCCCCCCCCCCCCCACCAGGGCTCCCTGTCCCCTCAGCCACCAGCTCTTTCTCATCTTGTTCTAAAAATCCCTCCCTGTCTCTATTGGCTTTCCTCCTTGTCACAATCCTGGCCCGATTCAATTTCTTTTCTTACCGGCAGTCACAATACATAGAGAAGAAGTATTATTTGGGGGAAAAAGTTATTTTTTACTCTTCTGCTCAAATCCCATCTTTTCCTTGATGTTGAATCAATTGTAAATAAAATTGAAGTAAACGAGGATTATGGGAGGTTTCAGGGACCTCGTGAAATTTAAAATTTCAGATTCATTCTTCTATGATTTCATCCAAGGGCTCTTCCTAGCTGAGGTCAGCCAAGAATTTAACTTACTCCTCAAGTTTATTCAAAGTTTCACTTCAATCCAAGAAATATGTATTAAGGGTCACTTATGCATGTACTAGGCACTGGTACTAATGGGATTCACTCACAGCAGGGAATCTTGGCACAAATAATTAAAAGACAATCACCTAATTGAGCTGGGACTTTGGCAAGAATATTGCAGAGATTGGTAGCCCCAGTATCATCGCCCCAGGGCCACTGGGCAGCAAAGCCACCGTACAGAAGGAGGCAAGCTGTGGTGGATCCCAGCAAACTGCCGCGCACGTAACCCAAGCATAAAATTCTGGCACATCCATTCACTCCACAAATCCTCCTTGAGCCCTTTCTCTATCTAGGCTATGGGCTGTGAGAGCCACAACAATAACTTCCTCCAGTAGTTTGCATCCCAGTAGTGGGCAGTACTGGCACACAAAGGTAGCCTTGGAAAACGAAAGCCCGCCTGTTTAAAGATCCAGCCAAACAAAAGAATGAGCCTTTCATTTAATTGAACTCTTTTGGATACTGATCCACACACAGAAGGAAAGCTTTTGTCTTTCTAGCTCTCCCATGTCTCTTCTTCCACCTTCCATCTCATGGCTGTTGTCTCCCAAGAAAACCAACTCAGGACGTAGAGTGCCGTATTGCTGTCTTTTGCTGGTCCTGGGGCAAGAACACCTGGTGGAGGTGGAATTCTAGTCCTGACAAAAGGAGCAGTGTCACGCTGATGGTCCCCACTGTCTACTGCTCAGCTAAACCCCCAACTGTGGCAGTCAGGCCATCACTGAGGAGCTTGGAAACTGCTTTTTAATGGTGAATTGTTCCTAAGTCTTCAGAAAACAAATCTGTATGTCCAATGTTTCCAGGGGGTCTCTTTCCAGAGTACCCCTCTATTTTTCAGTTAGTTTATAAAACAGGGATGATGTTGCATATCTTTCTGTATAGTCTGCTCATAATGATCAGAAATCTTTACATAAAGCACCTAGCATGGCGGCTAGTAGACAGGAGACAGCCACTACATGGTAGCTTTTGTTGCTGTCGTGATTCATGATGATTATGATCATCCCTACTGCCTTCTGAGCATTTGCACCTAGACGTCCCAAAGCCTCCTCAGATTCAACATGTCTAAAACTAAACATATGATCTACACCCCCAAATGCGTCCCCTGTCTGCTACATTCTGCTTTTGTCTAACGATGCTGCTACCCACCCAGTCACCCAAGCTACAATACTGTATGTTATCTTCCGCTCCCTCCTCCTCCTTCTCTTTCATCTTCTCCTCCCCCCACCCCACCCTCCTTCTCCACTTCCTCTTCCTCCTTCTCCTTCTCATTTGAAAAGGATGGGTCATTAGGTCCTAACCATTCTATCTCCCAAAGATGTCCTGAATGCATCTCACTCACACCATATTAGTCCAAGACTTTATTATTTCCTGCCTAGACAATAGCAAAAGCCATGTAACTTATATCCCTCTCTCTATTTCTCCCCTGGTACAAACCATCCTCTTCACTGCATTCTACAACTTAAATGTGATCATGACACTCCCTTCACTGAAACCTTTAGTGACTTTCTGCTGTGGACAAAACAGTGCCCGACTCCATGGCGCACGCAAAATGCCCTTCAGAATCCAGCTCCTCCCTACCCTTCCAGCTTTGTCTGCTGCCACCTACCACCATAACCTGTGCTCCAGCCACTCCAACCTTCCAGCCACTTCCCAGATATGCCATTCCTTTTCATTCCTCCATGTCTTTGCAAACAATTGCTTCTGTTTAGAATGATTTTTTTTCCATGCTTTTCCACCTGGAAAATTTGCCTCTCAACATTTGCTCATTCAAATACTCCTCAAATTTGAAGCCTTCATACATCTGGGTGTCAGATATCTGGATCAAAAGTAATCTCTCCTTCCCTATGTTCACACAGCATTTTCTAACAGCTTTATTGAGATATAATTCACATAGCATAAATTCACCCGTTTAAAGTAAACAACTCAGTAGTTTTCACTATATTCATAGAGCTGTACTACTATCACCACGACCTAATTTGAAAACATTTTCATTACCGCTAAAATAAACTTTATAGCCATTAGCTGTCACTCCTCCTCCCTCTGCCCCAGCCCTAAGCAACTACCAATCTTCTGTCTCTACAGACCTGCCTATTGTGGATGGTTCATATAAATGGAATCATACAATGCCGAATCGTACAATAGCTTTTGTGCCCGGCTTCTTTTACTGAGCATAATGTTTTGTTTTGGTTTTTTGCTGAGGAAGATTCACCCTGAGCTAACATCTGTGCCAATCTTCTTCTATTTTGTATGTGGGTCGCCATCTCAGCATGGCCAACAATGAGTAGTGTAGATCTGTGACCAGGAACCTAACCCGGGTTGCCAAGGTGAAGCGCACCAAACTTAACCACTAGGCCATGAGGCTGGTCCCAGCGAGCATAATGTTTTTAAGGTTTATCCACGTTATGCATATGTCAGTACTTCATCCTGTTTAACTCCTGAACAATATTCCATTGTATGGATATACCACATTTATTTACCCATCTGTCATTTGATGGACATTTGGATTGTTTCCACTTTTTGACTATTAATGACTAACGCTGCTGTGAACATTTGTGTACCTTGAAGCCTGCTCCCCCACTGACCCCTGTTCCTGCCTGCAGTGGAGGACCCCGAGCACTTCCCAACACCACCCAGCGGGAAGGGGCACAGCCAGCTGGGATCCCAGCTTTTCTCTTCCCATGCCTACCACTCTCCTTCAGTCACAAGGCTCCCAGTTCAGTTTCGAGACCCACATTATTCTAATCCCACATTTTTCATCCCCTGTGGGCATGAGACATGATACCTTCAAGAAGCCACTGCAGATCACATGTCTGTGGTGCCCACATGGAAAGCCAGCAGGACTTTCCAGGCTCATCTGGAGGTCAAGGCAGAAGGACTGTACCCAGACACTCAGGGCCAACACCAGCAGCCAGCAGGGCACTTGCTGAAGAAGGACTCTCTGGATTCTCCTGATGGACGATCTGAATGAATCATAAAAACTCCCATGGGCTTGTCTCCAGAATGGCCTGGAGTTCACCTCTATGGAGAATATGCCTCATCCTCTTTTGAGCTGATTAGAAAGGTCAAAGCACTTTCAAAGGAGAGAGCACGAGCCTGGCCGGTGCTATTTAGAGCCCCCGACAGGCTAGCCGGGCCTCCAAGTGCCTGCCTGCCCCCTGACCCCGGGCAGCCAGAGCACAGGATGCAGTCGCCTCTCAGGATTCATTCAGTCACCTCAGGTGACAGCTCAGGATGCACAGACCCTAAAATAACTGGTTAAGAGGTGGGTGCTATTTCTAAAAAGTACAGCCTGTTCTGCTTTGGATGCCAGGGGATTATGTCACGTTATCTGCTCCCATCACAAAGGGATGCTTTTCTGGCCTTCAGAGTACCGCTCCCAACGCCTACTTCTCTAAGTGGCTCCTGTGCACGTCTCGGCCAGGAATACCAACCAGGTGAAAGGTAGGAGTTTCGCCTTCAATCCCAAGTGAGGGATATTCGAAAACATTCAGTAAAGAGAACAGGCATTCTGTTGAGGTGTTTGCTGTGTGGGAGGAGGCACCGAAACCATGAAACTCACAGGACTCCCAAGCAACCTGAAACGGCCGAGAACGGAGGCTCTCTCCCCGGCATGGAGAGGAGCTTTTTTTCCTCAAGCATGTGACAGTTGATATCAGGGGAGGAAAAGTGGCCAAGGACTTTTGCCACTGTGCCAGGAGTAAGGATGCAGTGTCTGACTTCAGCTTCTCACGAAGGAGGAAGAATGTATGTGATCCGCGACCACACCAGCCGTAAACCAGAAGTCTTGAAGAGCCGACTCAAGACTCAGGCTGCCTGGGTTTGGATCCTAATTCTGCCACTTAGTAGCAGCGTGCCTTGAGTAGTAGGCCCCAACCATCCCTGCCTCTGTAGAAGGAGGCCAATGTTAAAATCTAGAGTATAGAATGTTTACAAGGATGAAATGAATGAATATTAACATTTTAAACATTTTTTAATGGCCTGGCACATAAAAAGTGACATGTAAGAGTTTGTAACAAATTAAAAAGTTAGACTTCCACCGGACTCCAGAAGGATTTTCATCTAACCATCACACTGCTGCATCTCTGCGTTGATAAAGCCTCGGTACCACAGTCAGAAATCTGTTCATGTATCGGCTTCTAAGACGAGGGGACTAAAGATACTGTGAGGGAGGCAGATTTTAAAATGGTTTTTAAAACAATTACAATAAAACAAAGGCCAAGCCTGCCCCGCCAATATGGTTAGGTGACGTGTTCAGATGCTTCCTTTCTACCCTTCAGAAGGCCAGGAAGGCCTGTGATTTGGGGAGCTCTTCTAAAAGTCAGCTTGGGACGGAAGAAAAGAGTCTTTTTTCTCAATTCCTAAATATTTCAAACTCCACAATAGATTTCAGAAATTATTATAACCGTTAGTTTCTGTCCGGAGCAGGAAGTAACTTTCCATGTAACAATGGAAGGCTGGAAGATCGTTGGGTCCCAAAATATCAAATGCTCTGTGACCTGTTTCAATATTTTGGGGGGAGAATTTTATTCATTACAAAAGAAATTTCACTTTTCTGTTCAGGGACACAGTACGGGCTGAATTTCAACTCTGGGCTGTGGGGTGCACCTGTGAAAACACTCTTCCACCCGGACATGCCAAAGCCTGGAGCGTGTGCGCTGTCGCCATCCCCAGAGTGTGGGAGGGAGGGGGGTGCAGGCAGGCCTGGGGGTGAGGCTCTGCCCACAGGCTGGGGCTGACGGTGGCTGCACCAGCACTGAGAAATGAGCCTCACGCTCGGCGGGGTTTCTGACTACAAAGCTGCTGGATGGCACGACAGCTCCCTATTCCCGCCTCCTTTAGTATTGTTTTTAACTATATGTTTACGGCCACCAGGATTCCCACCTCAGGAATGCTATCTGCCACCTGCAATGGGAAACTTTTCTAGGATTTGAATGATATCTGTGTGAGGATATGCCTCTTACTTACTACCATTTTAAGACGTATAATGAGAGAAACAGGAAACCGTGTTTTCTCAAGAGGAACATCTCAGGAACGTAAAACCAAATACATGCTCCGAGGAAACGTCTGTAAGGGTTCAAGAAACAAAAATGAACAAGAAGACTTTTAGATCATGGAGACAAAGAAGAAAAAACCCTTAGGTGAAAAGCAGGTGTGACCAGGCTTCCTTTCCTCAGCAGTGAGAACAAAGTCAACATGAAATAATATTCTCTGTTTTATTACTCACAAAAAGGGGTGGCAACTCATTCCCTCACTTAACAAATGCCTATTTGGCACCTGCCATGCGCGAGGCATGTTGTAAGTGCCAGGATCCATCAGTGAGTCGCACGGATCAGCATCTCTGCCCTCATGGCGCTTACTCCTCATGGAGGAGGAGGACCAGCAAGGGAAGCGTGTGCAATACTGGACGCTGCTAAACGGCATCACGGAGAGCAAACAGGGAAGTCGCTGTCTGCGAGTCAGGGAGAGAGGCTGCACAGAAACCGAACCTGCTAGAACCTTGATCCTGGACATTCCAGAGTCCACAATTGTGAGAAAATAAACTTCTGTTGCTTAAGCCGCCCAGTTTGTAGTCGTTTGTTAGGACAGCCCAAGCAGACTTGATTTGGGTACCAGGAAGTGGAATGCTGCTGTAACAAATACCTAGAAATGGGCAAGCAGCTTCGGAACCAGGTAATGGGTAGAGGCTGGAGGAGTTTTGAGGTCCATGCTAGAAAAAGCCTGAATTGCCACTCAGGGATTGCTGGTAGAAAGATGGATGTTAAAGGCAATTTGAGTGAGAGCTCAGAAAGAAAGGAGAGCTAGAGAAAGATCCTCCAGCTTCTCAATAATCATGAACAGAATGCTGGTGGAAATGTAGACACTAAAGGCCATTCTGGTGAGGTCTCAGGAGGAAATGAGGAACATGTTACTGGAAACTGGAGGAAAGGGGATCCTTGTTATAAAGTGGCAAAGAATTTGGGTGAATCATGTTCTAGTGTTTTGTGAGAGGTAGAACTTGCAAGTGGTGAAACTGGATATTTAGCTGAGGAGATGTCGAAGCAAAATTTTGAAGGAGTGGTACAGTTTCCTTTTACAACTTATAGTAAAATATGAGAAGAAAGAGATAAATTAAGGGAATTTTTAAGCAAAAAAGAACTAGAACTTGAAGATTTGGAAAATTCTCAGCTTATTCATATTGCAAAAAATGAGAAGAAAGAGCTCTGGAGAGAATACCAAGGATGTGGCTGAAACACCATTTGGAAAGGAGATCAGTACCGGTGTGAACCAGGAATTTCATCAGCCACCTGAGAAGAAGCCAGGAAGAGATACTATTATACCAGCAGAAATACTGCCAGGATCAGGGAAAGAGAAATAAAAGACAAAATGAATGAAGGCTGTGGATTTCTTGAATTTTACAGGACTGGACAATAGAGCTATTTGGCAGCAATCGTTCACTATTCTTCTAGAAAAGGGAAGGATGATCCAAGGTGATTCAGAGACCTAATTAGCACCGTCTCCATCCTGGTTTCAAAGTGTGGTGACATCCTGGTTTCAATAGGCCGTGCTGCCACCACCCAGAGCCTTGCAGGTGGGACCCCCATCTAGCAGAGTAACTTGAAAAAAAAAAAAAAGTCCACTTAGCTTTATCTCAGGAATGCAAAGAACTAAGATTGTTGCCCATGCATGTCAATAATGAATTGATTTTCATTGTTTATCCTTCAGAAGGCAAAGCCTCCTTAGGGAGTGAGGACAGTCTGAGTATAAGCCGACTGAAGGTAAGATGTAGGAAAAGTGCTACAGTCCTCCGCCCTACCTGCTGAGCTGTGGCCGGGAGCGCCGTGCTAAGTGGGATGAGTCAGACAGAGAGAGACAAGGACTGCGTGACGTCACTCAGTGTGGAATCCAAAGAAGCCAAACTCACAGCACAGAGAGTAAAATGGTGGCTACCAGGGGGTGCGAGGTGAGGGGACAGGACAGGTGGGGTTTAGGGGTACAAACTTGCAACAAGTAGTAACCAAGCCCTGGAGATCTAAGGCACAGTAAAGTACATATAGACCAACAATATTGTATGATATTTGCTCAAACTTACCAAGAGGCTAGATGGTAATTATTCCAGCCACTAAGAAGAAAGGATAATTATGTAACTTGTAACTTGATAGAGGTGCTAATTCTCACTATAACAGCTATCATATTACAATATATACATGTATCCAATTAACATGTTGTACGCCTTGAATTTATACAATGTTATATGTCAAATATATTTCAAAAAAAATTTTTTTTAATGTGGGAAGCTGCCTCGTTGTTCTCGGTTAGTCATTTTTCCCTTTATTCATGCTCTTTGATATGTGACTTTGTGGCTGTTTGGGGAAATTTTTTTTTCTGTTTCTTAAAATATATAGTGTTAGTTGTTTTAAATTAGCAATAATAAAAGTAAACCTTCATCAAATGCTTACTATATGGAGGAAGGCTTCATACGATTAACTTTTCTTACAGGATTTGTAGGGAGAATTAAATGCAGAGATTTCACATCACAAAAGCAGGATACTGTTTAAAGTATTTAATACCCTACATGGGGTTTATAGTTAGAACCGTCAAGCTTTGTTGTTGTTTTTCTTTCTGTGATAACAGAGAAAATGTGGATGGCACATTCTAAGAGTGACATGGGTAAATGAGAGTACATCCTGAGGAAGTGACGGGATGGCAGAGGGTCTGGGAAACGAAGCCTGTAAGGACCCGTTAAAGGAAGTGGAGGTGTTTATACTAGAAGGAGAAGGCTTCAAGGAAACAGAACTGCTTTCAAATCTCCAACAAGACAGGGTGTGGAAAAGGGATTACATTTATCCTGAGTAGTTCACAAGGACAAACTATAACCAATAAATGAAATGCATACGATGGAAGATTTTGGATTGAAAAAAGGAAAATTTACCAACAATTCAAGCTGTCTCACACGAAGTGGGCTGCTGCCCTCCGATTCCTGGACGTCCACAAACATCCGAGCTTTGGAGAAGCAATTCCTAGATTATGTAAAACATTATACCAGATGATATGAAGGACCATTCCAAATCTAAGCTGCTATTATGTGACATCTCCAAAATTACAACTACTTTGATTCACTAAACTTAGCATCGAATATTGAAATATTTACTTCATATATAAACGTCCGAAATGCACCTGCCGTGAGGTCAGTCTGCATATAAGTGATGCGTGTGAACTTCAAGTACACAATAGTCTGAGTGAGGATGAGAGGCTGTTATTGAATTATTGATTCATCATTTGGGAAAGAATGGGTATTTTAAAAGAAATAGAACAATATTTAAAGTCTATAAAATAAGCACGTATTGGGCCACATACTATTTATTTCTTGTGCCTCTCTATTACATGTTTAAAATCATCACATCCATTTCTGACCAAGCCTCAGCTCTGTCCTCTGCTGAGGATTTAAGAGATCTCATAAAGGAGGTACTTTAAAGAAGGGCTGGTCCTCAGCCTCAGGACCCGGGCAAGACTCCGAATCCCTCCAGGGGATGACAACAATCCTGCTTCAGGGCCAAAGCGCAGGGGCCCCCCCCCACACAAGCTCTCCAGGGAGGTAAATGTGACCCAAACAGAGTAAGGAAGAAAAACTCAAAAGACTTAAATATGGCAAGAAGGGTCTTTTCTTCCCTTTCTGAGTCAGCTGCAGTTTGAATACATGCTTTAGCTTAGTTCATCAGAATGGCCGTCAGGACAGGAAGGAGGGTGCTGCTGGAAAGGGGCCGCATGAGGAGGTCCCTGGGGGCGCTGGCACGGTTCCATACCTTGAGTAGGGCAGTGGTCACTCAAACATGCATGTGAAGTAAAACCGCATACAACTGCACACACACAAATGTGTGTCAAACTGGCGAAATCAGAATAAATTTCCTGGTTTTGATATTGTACTAAAGTTACGCAAGATGACACCATTAGGGGAAGCTGGGTGAAGGTTAAAGAGGACTTTGTACTGTTTATGCTACGTCTTGTGAGTCTGTAATTATTTCAAAATAAAAAGTACAACACAAAAGGGAGGAGGAAGGAGAGGATGGCCCTTCAGTCACTTGCCTCAAAGCTATGAAAGAAGAGGGAAATGTAAAAAAGAAGGGAGGAGGAAAACACCTCAAGAACTGGGTCGCCCATTTCCTGGATCCCTTAGCTGTAACAAGCGCCTAAGTAGACTTCCTTCTCAGTCCTCCCTCTCTCAACTCCATCTTTCTCTTGGCCACCAGATATAGTTTTTAAAAACTCTGACCAAGTCTCTCTCAAGCTTGCCCATCATTAACAGGGCACCTCGTCCCTACTGCTCTCTCCACCCTGTGGACTCAGCTGTCAGGGATGTCTGCGCACAGCTTGCCTTCTAACAATTCCCTGATTGGGCTCAGATTGATGCCCCTGCCTGGTACACCCCTTCCCTCCTCACTCACCTAACTCTTCCCCCTCTTTCAAGTTGTCACTTAAGTAACCCCAGTTCGGAGGTGCTTATCCTCCCCCGTCTCAGGACTGAGCTGAGTCTTCCTCCTCAGTACCCTGCTTGCTTCTGTCCAGGCGATATTCAGTTCTGTCTGAGCACTGTCCACCCAGAACAGGAGCCCAAACAGTTAGAGTGCAGGCTGGGCACATGCATCAGGTTTGGCTGAACCCAACATTCTGAGGGAATTTCAGCACCTCTTCTTTCTACCCCTCAATTCACCACATTGTCTTGAAATGAGATGTTCATGTTTGGTTCCCCTACTGGACTGGGAGCTCCTCAAAGCAGAGATGGTCTTTCTTCTCTGGACCCTTAGTGCCTAGCAGAGTGCCTGCTGCAACAATTCTACATTCAGCTCCCTTGACCTAGAAAACAGACTCCTGGCCACACTTTGCTTAGAAGCAACTACTTCACATCCAAAACCATGAGGCAGCACGAGCAGCCTTTTGTGAGATTGTACAAAGGTGGTCAGAGAAAGCATTGTACCGGAAGTCAGTGGAGACCAAAGGGAGCATTGAGTGCAGCATCTGAGTCAAATCAGAGGGAGCCTGGGAAGGCTGCAATGCCAGAGCCGATGGCATGGCTCCTGGCCAGGATGGGCAAGGTGGTCAGCACAGAGCAGTGACCAGCCACATAGCCAAGGAGAGGGCTCCTCAGAGAGAAGTGTCTCCCATGACATAGAGAAATTCATCAAATTTAGCAATGTAAAGAGTCACAACAGCAGAGAAGCAGTAACAATTAAGGGAGAAAGCTGCAGCTGGCCTCTGTCTAGATATGGAAGAACAAGGGAAGAAGATCCAGATCAGCAAGGACACGTGTAAAAGCCAAGGAGACAAGGAGAGGGTGACACGGAGGTGAACCGGAACCGCAAGAGCTGGCCAGTCTCGCACATTCCCGAATGATGCAGACACCACAGCCAAAGCTTCTGTAGTCTCTTCAAAGCCCCCCAGTTTTGTCTGGGTACTTCTCAATCTAGCTTTCCAAACTTCTGAGCGACAGACTCTCAACTAAGTACTGTGAAAGGAGAAACGATTTTAACCAGTGGAATTAGTTATCATCTCAGCCTGACTTTAATGTCTTTACTGTGACGGCCCATAACTGAGTCATCCAGGCCTCCAGTCTCACAGACACTAGCTGGCCAAGAAGGCTCTAACCTAGGGAATTCCATAGATCCAGGCCTCATCTGACCTTGCAAAGACTCAATGACTTGGCTGTGGTTTGCACTTGGGGAAGCCCTCAAGTACATGTGACTCGGGAAGACAGTTGCTGAGGAAGAAGGGGACAACTCAGCCCACTGATGCTTAAAAAAGGACATGGGACTCCTATGTGTACAAGTATAGAGTCGTTCAGGCCACCAGGGAAAAGCAGGCAGGTCAAGTCGGCTCCCCTCCCAACACATTGCCCAGGCTGCCCCTTCTCCTTGAAGGCTGCCGTAGGCATCCATTGAGACCTGGACTATTTCATTTGCACAACTCTATTCTGGAGAGGAAGCTCTCGACCAGCAGCTATGAGCCTCCTTCTCTCCTCGCTGCCCATTCCCCCAGCCCTTTAGGATGCTAACTCTGAGTAGAAGCGTCTACCCATCGTGTGAAATGGGAAGCAGTGGGAATACAGAAGGATGCTTATGTTAACTGAGTACCTATTTGGTGCCAGATGCTTCTCATAGATGATCTCATTTAGAACAAAGAATAAAAGGCTTCACTAGCAAGTGAGAAACATAAATAACTCCCAAAAGATCTGCTTTGTTTCCATTTTGATAGTTTCTCTTTGTCATCATCCACCACTTTCTAAATTTAGGGAGGCCCCATGGAGAGGTAACTCTGCCGGGCATCATTCCTTTAGCTTGGAATCCAAGGAAGATGGGATTTTGCATCTCGCATGGAGCTTCTGAATGTCAATCTCACACCAAGTCAAAGAGATCTTGCCCTGAGATCTCCAACTGTGGGAGCTGGGGCATGCCTAGTACAGGTCTGCTTTTCAAATATATTTACATTCCAAGGTAATTGATGGGCAGTATCTGGAAATTAGTCAGGGAAAATGTTATTTTTGGTAAATGCCAACCTCCTAACAAAACAGAGCTCCCTTTTCCCATTACTCCCTCAACAGCTAAAGAAGAAAAGGGATGAAGGGTGGGGAGCGGGCAGGGAGGAGCATCCCAGGTTATTTTGCAAATGGCCTTTGTGCAGGAAGCGGAATAATAGTAAGTGAGGACAAGAGTGCTTAAATAAGAAAAGCCGATGAAAAAGCAAAGATTTTACAAGCAGGTGCCATCTTTGGGCCCAGTTTGTGATCCCAGAGCTAAAATTAAAAATCATCACCCTGATAAGGACCCTGGAAGACCAGTGTGTGAAAACCCCATTGCCAGACTATGCCTTACACCAAGTAGTGGAGATTTGCTGAAGGGCACTTCAGAGGTCAGCCCCACACAGAAGGGGAAAGAAGGACGAAGATGGAGAGCAGCGCCCTGTGGAGAAGGGGTGTGAGGCCTACCCAAGGTTATTGCCCCCGGAGCATCCTGAGGGGTCTCTCCTGAGGCTCACTGACTCAGATAATATTAAACTGTAGTGGTTCCAGCCCCTGCATTTCACCACGAGGACACAGAGGCCCGAAAAAGTGATGGGCTGGCCCGGAGTGCAGAGCAAGGCGGCAGCTGGCCCCTGGCATGTGGAGGCGTCTTCTTAAATTTAAAGCATCAACTTGGACTAACCGGCTTTGCTGACCCTGAGCAGAGGGGCTGCCGTCGGCTGCTCCCTCCTACAAGAGACCCATCGGTGGTGGCCTGTCCCGTCTGCCATCAAAGGTTTCCCAAACAAACAGAGAGTTACTGAGAGCAACACTCAACCTGGATTTTTCTTTTTTTAGCAAAATGAAAAAAGAAAAAACTAAATAAATAACCCAGAGTCTTTGTGACTAACAATTTCTAACACAACTGGGTAAAGTATTTGTAGAGAGCCATTAACAGCACCATTTGGAAAGTTTTGTATTGTTTTGCTAAAGGCCCACGCGCTGCCCGGAGCCGACTGCGAGCTTGAAAGACTTCGCCCTGACACTTTCCACTTCCTGCTCATCCTCCTGTTACCAGGATGTGAATGGGGTGCGGAGGATGAGAGAAACTTCCTGCTGCCGCACAGCTGAGGCTCCCCTGACCCAACCTGGAGGAGGCTCTGTCCAGCACAGCCCGGGAGGAGGAAACCTTGTTTCCTCTTAAATCACCCGAGAGGCAGTGCGGAGGAATGTGTAGGAAGTCAGTCAATTGTTGCTGAAGTCACAGGCTGTTTCTTAAACATGAGGATCACAACTCCGGTTACCTTAGAACAGACAGAGACGGGGTAATTGAAGGCAAGTTCTCCTCAATCACTCGAAGAAGCAGCTGCTTGGTTGAAGAGTTGCCATTGGCTCAAAACAGGTCACTTGACACTCCCAGCCATGAGATCCAGAACCCAGGCTCCGTGAGCGCATGGCCCTCTCGTGACCACAGGCCCTGCGCCCCACTTCGCTTCATGCACTGCCAAAAGCAAGCAGGAAAAAGTCTAGTTTTAAAAGCTGCTCCTCTATAGTTCCAACAGGCCCATTCAACATGCTTGGGAGGGGGCCCAGGGAAGGAAGGCATTTGTGAACCATTGTTCACTGCAGAAAAAAACATACACTCTGTAAACACGCATAAATGGTCTGGGTAACTCAGTTGCTCAAGATCCTGTTGAGAACTTTTACTCATTACTCTTGTTATTGTTATTATCGGAGACATTCCCTCCTACACATCCTTCCTTGCTCCTGGCAGGAGACATGTCAGGATCAAAAGCAAAGAATATTCACTCTCCCCTTCCTTCCACACATGAAGGATGGGGCTGCTCGGGGTGAGGGGGAGAGTCCAGCGTCAGAGCAGTTTTCCACCATTAGGAAGGAACGGGAATTTTTATAGGCATTAGCCAAACAGAATAACTTAATCCAAATAGTGACTTCTGAAAAGGAGATACAAGGCCCATGATTTAGAAAGCTATGAAGAGCAATTTAGGCATACTCTTCGGGAGGGAGACACGGACAACACGCTTTCTATCAAGCCCTCGGAGACAGGATACCATACACAACCAGGGACCAACTGGTCTCAGGTAGGAATTTACATCAAAGAAGTCTGAACATCAACAGGGCAATCTGAAATGAGGTTGCATGTTTTTTCCCATTAAATCAGGGCTTGGTCCAACCTTATTCGGCCAGCAATGAACCCTTGAGATCAAATGTGGAATTTTATCCCTCAAGGCCCAGATCCAAATGCCTCCCCCTCCTCAAGGTCCTCCCCGGATTCCCCAATCAAAATAATCATCTTTCCTTTGTGATCCCACAACACCCTCCACTCCCTCTACCTCATTTCCTCTGCCCCGTATAAGGCTTATTTGAACACACAATGTCTCCTTCCCTAAACCGTGTCCTTTAGAGAACGGAGCCAGTCTCAAGGACTTTGGACTCACGTGAAATTAAATTCCAACTCTGCCTCTTACGAGCTCTGAAACCTTAAGCCAGGTCTTTGACCCATTGAAGGTTCAGTTTCATCATCTATAAAAGGGATGTAATAATGTTACTAACCTTGTTCGCTTTTTTCAACAAATATTTATGTACTGTGCACAGATTTAGATACTGGAGACAAAGTGGTGAAGGGAAGAGGCAAAGGCCCCCCCCTCGCGTGGACCCTTCACTCTGGAGGAACCACTGTGAGAGGAAGGAAGTGAGGAAAAGCTTAGAGACATCTTTGCCTGACACAAAACAAGCACTAAATAAATGTTCACTAAACGGATGATTCAATCAAAATGTCAGTGAGTGAATGAAAGATGTGAGAATCATGGACAAGTCTTTCAAGCCGAAAGCACAGCCTTTATTCTACAAATGCTTTGGAAATATTTATCTACTCCCGGGAGTACATCCTAAGTAATGGATACAGAATGGAGGGGATACAGTAATTCACTTCCTAAAGACTGGAAATTCGAAAAAATAAAGACTGTACTCAGATTTAAATTTAGAAATCATACCCAAAGCAAGGAAAGGAAGACTTGTAACTGATTCTTTGACTATTGGCAGAAAGTAATTCTTTGGCCCCAAAGCCAAAGGTCTTGGTGAGAAACAGTGCATGGTATTTCTGATCTAGTTTTTTCTGCGGTGAGCTCTGGGGCGATGAGCTTAGAAAATGCTCTTCCATCTCACATGCAAGAGAAGAATCTGGCACATTTCGATATTTGCCACGGCCCTTCTACCTCATCCCGACCTCTCCCACTGGGGCCCCTGTTTGCGTTATCAGGACCGTCCCTGACCAATGGTCCTCTCTTCTCGTTGAAGAAGTGGTGAGGGTTTGGAGAGCCGCCTTCCCTTCCTCTGACCCACCTTCCTCTCTCGTGCCAGCTCCCGTTTGGAGGAGAGGCAGAAGGAATTGTTTGCGCAGGGAGTGGCTCAGCCTTCCCTTTCAGTCTCCGCAGCCACCCCCTCCTCTGAGCTTTACCACCTAATTCCCAGCAGCTGGCTTTGTTGCTGCAACAAGTGGGAACTCTTTCTTAATGTGGCACAGAGGTGTCTGTAGGCAGCCAACCATGGGACACCGCTGGCCACAGCTGGCTAAATGTGGTTTTAGAAACTTGTTTGTGCTCTCGTCTGACTAATACTTACCTACCGGCTGGCTGGCATGAGACCTCTCTCCCACTCATCTGGCACTTGGAACACAATCCACTGGCTTCCCAGCCACTGCTGAACTCACTCACAGCCAAGGCAGAGGGACTAGGTTTGGGTGGGACTGAATAGCAGAGCCCCCAAAGGCCCCAGGGGCTCAGAGACACTGGGGCATGTTCTTCTCCTGAGGGCTTATGTCCCCTCAGCTGATTGGGGTAACTTAAGGGTGACCTGAGTAAAAAGTAAGAAAGAGATGGGAAGAGCTTTAACATTCTCCTCTAGTTGAACAAGTCTTTATCTATTTGCAAAATAATATCATGTTTAAAAAAAGAAAGCTAGGTTTAAATTAGACAATAACTTCGAGTGATAGGCAGCACACATGACAGGCTTTGGAGTTGAAAGAATTAGTAAATAAACAAATGAGTGAGTGAGTAAATGAATGAATGGACTGATAAGGAAATATGCAGGATCGGGGAGACAAACAGTCTCTGTATTCTAGGAATTTACCCAGCAGATCCCCTCTCCACATGTCAAATGATTAACGAACAGATTCAATGAACTACAGTACATCCGTGTTCTGGAATACGATACTATGTGGCTGTTAAAAAAATGAAACATCTATATACACGTGGATATGAAAAATATCTGTGTGTGGAAAAAACCAAAAGCTAGAGACAGAACAACATGGATAGCATGTTACTATTTGTGTAGATAAAAAATGTTTTAATATATGTTTGTAAATACATAGACTGTCTCTGGAAGGATACCACATGAATAGAAATAGGGTTGTTCTTGAAAGGAGGAATGGATGGCTGGGGACCAGGGGTGGATGCACACTTTCTTCCCACTGTACAGCCTTTTCCATCTTTTGAATTTTATACCCTGTACATATATTATCTATTCAAAAAATTTCATAAATTTTTTATTAATGAAAATAAAATTAAAATAAGGTAGATTTATATCTACAGAAACAAACATATCAATCATATATTTAAAATGAAAAATGGGGCCAGCTCCGTGGCCGAGTGGTTAAGTTTGCACGCTCTGCTTCAGCAGCCCGGGGTTTCGCTGGTTTGGATCCTGGGTTCGGACGTGGCGGCGCTCATCAGGCCATGCTGCGGTGGCGTCCCACACAGCACAGCCAGAGGCACTCACAACTAGAACATACAACTATGTCCCGGGGGGACTTTGGGGAGAAGAAGGGGAAAAAAAAAGATTGGCAACAGATATTAGCTCAGGTGCCAATCTTTAAAAAATAAAATAAAATGAAATGAAATGAAAAAAAAGTCACACAAAATGTATTCGGTAGGACATCATTTGTGTTTTTAAATGTACTCTGCGTGTGTGTGTACATACACACGTGTGTGTTTGCTGAGACATTCAAAAAGTTGTGGGAGAGGAATGGTGAAGGAGTTTTCACTTTTTACTGCATATATTTCTGTATCATTTAAAGGCTTTACAACATGTGATTGTTTAGTAATTAAAAATATAAATTTAAAAACTGAGACAGCTCTATATGTACTGATCAGTTATCACCTCTAAGATACAGGGTTAGGTAAAAAAGAGACAAAATAGTTTGGATCCTATGCAACCATTGGTTTATGGAAACTTGCCCGTGAACGCATAGAGACTCTCTGAAAGGTGTGTGTGGAACTGGCATCAGCGGTCCCCTCTGGGGAGGAAAATGGTGACTAAGGGATGGATCAATAGGGAAACTTTTCTACATGGTGTATAACTTGCATATTTTGTAATTTTGTGCCATATGTACATACTACCTAGTCAAATTTTTAAATTATTTTAATTTACAAAAATATAGAACTTTCTTATTAAACTGGATTATGTCAATAACAAGATTACAAGCCTAAAAGAACTTAGAAAATCAAGTTGAGGGAAAATCCCTCAACACACACATACATGAGACCCATTCTATTTGTGTGCGTGTGAGGAAGAGTCGCCCTGAGCTAACATCCATGCCAGTCTCCGTCTACTCTGTATGTGGGATGCCTCCACAGCACGGCCGATGAGTGGAGCAGGTCCACACCTGGGATCTGAACCCGTGAGCCCCGGGCCACCAAAGTGGAGCACGCAGAACTGTCAGCACTCGGCCACGGGGCCGGCCTCGTGATCCCCATTCGAGAACTTTGTGTTTCCTTGGGAGCTGGCACTTCTAGGTGCCCATGAAAACAGCTTGGGAGAGACCAGAACACAACTCTTATTATCTCATAGTCATCGCCCTGTAACACCCAGCCTAGAGGCCCCACCCGGCGTAAAACAATATTGGGACAAGACTAAAATCAAACTATCTCAGTATTTGCTCTAAGCAAATTATTCTATTCATTCAAGAATTGTTTGTTGAGTGACTACTATTTGCCAGGACTGGCAACTTAAACTCACACCTCCATTTGTCTCTTAAATGTGTCAGGATCACAGACATTGAGGCCCACTTTTTAAAAATCAGATTAGACTACTGGATGGAATGCTTATTTTCAATTCTACCTTCTTCCAACCATGGATAGTGGGTAGAATGTACCTTCTGTCAAAATCCCCTCCTCAGGACAAAGTCACGATTTTGTGTATAAGTCTACAATTTGTCTAGCTCCTAAAATAATTGCTCTAAAATTGGCCCAAACTATCAGGAGTGCCAGAAGAAGGTCCCTTCTGTTCCCACTGCACCCATCCTAACCCAGGCTCTCAGGGGTTAGCCGCCACTCAGCCTCTTCACTGGCATCCTCGCCCCTACCAGCAATTCCCTCCTCTTCATTGGGTGCCACTGACAAATGGGGTGATCCACGGCTTTACACTTCTGCCTGTTTCATTCCAACTGCTGGAAGGTCTTCCCCTCTCATCTACCAATCCGACGCCTGTAGTCAAGACCAGCCTGAGCCTCAGCAACTCTCTTCTTCTCTAGCCACCCATCTTCTAAGCTCTTCCGCACTGTCAGTCTTTCCATTATATTGACTACTTTGACAATTCATTGTGCACCATCCTGGGACAGATGACTCTTTTCTAATTGTGAATTCCATGACTCATATTTGCTGGTAATAATTACATGAGAAGAACCTAGGGCCTAGGAGGCAGGAAGAGAAATGGCCTGGCAGGACAGAAGTCATGTTCTGGTGGTACAGCCTGGCAGAGAGGAAGATGCACCAAGGCCCTTTCACCACCTTCCCGTCGAGAGCCATGGAGTGGAGAGGGAGGGGAGAGAGGCGGGAGAGCGTCGACTCCATGGGTCATCTCCGACCTGCTCAGTGCTCCACAACCTCGAGAGCTGAAGTGGAGTCTAGTGGTAGAAACGTCCGTGCTCCACCCTTGTCCCTACTTTCTCTCCCGCCCCTCTTCAAGGGCTTTCAATTCCACAGCAGCACCCCCAGGCTCCTCTCCGGATGACAGCCCTTGGGCTACTGGAGCCACTTGACCCAAAGACCAGAAAGCCAGAGGGCCTGGGAGTTCTCCTGCCAGGGCGGCCCTGCCCAGTGACCCACAGGTGCTGGGATAATTGCAAGACATAACTTACATTCCGGCATTCTTCCGCAGAATGAGCTAAAGCTACCCCCTGCGGGACTTTTCTTGAAACCACACCTCTGCTTGGGGACCTCTGCTTCCTGTCCTGCTTCTGCGGCTCCCTTGCCTGTCTCCCCAGGGAGCACGTCCTTGTAAATCACATGCACAGGAGGCCTCCTCTGAGGGCGGGCTTCTGTAGAACTTGACCTAAGACAGGAGAGGTGGGGGCTGGGGGAACGCCCTTGGCACACAGGGAAGGGAAGCAACATGGTTTTGTTTTGTTTTTTAATTTCCTAAACTATCCAAGTTCTTTTGTGCTTTGGAGTAGTGGTAACACTAGGGGATGCAGCTAACAGGACGGTGCTCTGACATCTCCTGTATGTATGCCTCGCTGACTAAACTGGACCGTGAGCAGCCAGAGTCAAGGCCAGTGTTAGACTTTACTCGTAATCATAACCTCCACTGACTGGCCCCTCGCTGTGTGCTAAGCATGCGCTAAGAGGTCTAGGCCCATTCTTTCTCTCTCGTTTAATTCTTCAGAACAATTCTACACAATAGTAGCCCCATTTTATAGATTAGGAAACTGAGACTCTGAGAAATAAAGTAATTGGCCCAAGAGGTCCCAGCAGGCCTACCTTCTTCTGTTAGGTGCTTGCTTAACTATGTTGAACTGTGATCCCAGACTCTGTCCCTCCTGTGCCACCCCAGGTCCTTGACAACCATACTTGCTCAAAACTCTTTACTGATCGCTCTAAATGGGAGAACCCTCAAAATAACAAGAAATAACGCTCAAAATAAGCAGATTGCAAAATGAAATGACCGATTTTACTAAAATTTAAAGTAATCTAGCTGGGGAAGTGGGGTTTAAAAACAGTGTAAAGGCATGGGTAGAAAATAGGTCTGAGGTCTCCATGGTTGATATGATTTCAACTTTATAACTTTATAACTTCCACATTTCCCCTAGTCATACATGAGTTTTACCGTCTTCTTTCCCTCTGCCCTCCCAAATAGGCCAGGTGAGAATTTTTATAGAAACGTTCTTTGTACACTTATAAAAAGTGAGGGAAAAAAATGTGAACACTGAGCTTTTCTGGCTGTCAGGAAATGGTATCTGCTTTTTAAAACCAAATTCAAAACATTTTGTGGGTCGTATTAAGAAACAGTACCACACAGCTGCATGCAAATTTCTTCTTCTTCTTTCTTGTTTTTGGGGAAGATTTGCCCTGAGCTAACATTTGTCCCCAACCCTCCTCTTTTTTGCTGAGGAAGACTGACCCTGAGCTAACATCCGTGCCCATCTTCCTCTACTTTATATGTGGGACGCCTGCCACAGCATGGCTTGCCAAGTGGTGCATAAGTCCACACCTGGGATCCAAACCCGTGAAGCCTGGGCCACCAAAGTGGAATGTGTGAATTTTGCCGCTGTGCCACTGGGCTGGCCCCAAATTTCTTCTTAAAATAGATTAAAATTGGTCCCTTTGTTTGCTTCATCGATTGGAGAGTAGTTTCATGCACTAGCTTATTAGGTGGCTATTAATATATTTTAAACAACAGCACAGCATCATTATCAAAAATACTGAGCACTACTCATCTAAAAGAAAAAAGAAAAGAAAAAAGCTCCATTTTATTTATCAAGCTTGCTGCCCCTCTTACATAGCTTTGTTCAGGGCTCAGATTGAGGGTTTGTCACCAGGACTGAGGCCCTCTGTTCCCTGTGAGGAAGCAGCAGCTTGCCCAGTGGCTGGGGAGCAGCGGAGGTGGGCGGGCGGGGCGCGGGCAGGGAGGCAGCGGTGTGCCACCACGGGAGCAGCAGAGAGAGGAAGGCAAGTGCAGATGTGGTGGCTGCCCAGTGGCCAAGCTGGAGGCAGGCAGGGAAAAATGGGGACCACAGAGACAGCCAATCAAAGAGGTAGTTGGAGTAGTAGGGAGATTGATGACATACAGTGGGCTGAGCAAATGAGTATATTGAGGCTCACGGGAGCCTGTTTCTCATCATCAGAGAAGGAATTTATAAATATTGAAAGAGAGAAGGTTAAAAAGAAAATTGAGGTGTTGGGTTAGAATTAGATGTATCAGTGTGCACTCATTTTGTATAGGAATAGATATTGATGTACGTATATGTGTGTCTGTGTATGAACCAGATCCTGGTTTTCTAAACACCACCCTCCACTAAAAGGAACCAGAGAGTTCCCTGGAGAAACAGCTGATTCCTAGACTAGGGCAATGAGCCTGGAATATCTTGTTGTGCCAGAAAGTAAGGAAAAGATAAAAAAATGATGGGAACATGACTGGAGCCAGTTTGAAGAGGTTCCCACTGGGCAAATATGTTTCATTCTGAGCATAAAAAAAATAATGACGGTAACAGATAGCCCATTAAATAATAGGACTCCATGCATTCATATATGTATGACATATTTTTATATGGTTGAGATATATATATATATATATATATATATATATATATATATATATATATCAAGCAAATAAATGGAGAAGGGAAAGTTAAGCAGAAGGAATGATAAAAAAAATAAAACCATTATTTGACCACCACCATAGTGGTGGTTGATTCAGAAGAGAGTCGTCAGTTGAGGCTTAGGCTGCTGGGAACAAGCTGATGTGATCTCCGAAAATCCTTGTCAGTTATGAAAGGCAACTGGAAACTTTACAGTGGAGAAACCAGAGGATGGAAGCTAACATGTCCAGTGGAGAGACAGCTGACAACTTCTCAGTGCACGGCAGCATTCTACAGGATCCTGCCGGGCATGCACGGCCTGAGTGTGGGCGTGGAGAGATATCAGCCAGACCCAGGGGTAGGCCATCCTAAAGAAGAAAGGACAGTAGTCTTTCCAGTTGAGGTCCTGAAAGAGAGGGGAAAGACAAAACAACAAGTCCAGATCAAAAGAGACTTGACCACTAAATGTAACATAGGACCCTGGATTGTATCCTGGACAAGAAAGAAAGAAGTGACATCGTTGGGACAGCTGGCAAAATGTAAACAGAGTCTACGGATGAAACGAAAATGTACGAAAGTGACTTGGATGGTTGTGTGATGGCACGTAGGAGAGCACCTGGCTTTGGGGAAAGACAGTCTGGAATAATTAGGGCTGATGGAGCAGCACGTGTGCAACTCGTTCTCCAGTGGTTCAGAGACTATACGTTAATTATTTAAATATGTATAATATATTAAATGATATCTACAGAGAGAGAGGGAAGGCAAGAGAAAGAGCCTGCAAATATAAAATATTAATAATTGGGGAATCTGGGTAAAAGGAATACGAGGTTTCTTTGTGCTGTTCTTAAAACTTCCGCAAGTGTAAAATTATTTTAAAATAAATTACTTTTAAAAAACAGGATCTAGGCAGGACTTGAAGTGACCAAGAGAGGAATGGGAATGGGAAAAAAAAAGCCAATGAAATGGGAGGTGAGAAGAAGAAAGCAGTTTATGACCTTCTCCACCTTGTTCCTTTTTTTTCTTTTTTTTCTTTTTGGCTGGGAAAAATTCACCCTGTGCTAACATCTGTTGCCAATCTTCCTCTCTCTTGTTTTTTCCTCCCCAAAGCCCCAGTGCATAGTTGCATATTCTAGTCATAGGCCCCCCTAGTACCTTTACGTGAGCCGCTGCCACAGCGGGGGTACTGACAGATGAGTGGTGCGGTTCCATGCCCAGCAACCAAACCCAGCCCGTCAAAACGGAGCACATCGAACTTTAACCGTCAGAGCTGGCTCCCCCTTGTTCCTTTTTAACCTAAATGGGTTGGAAAATATCTGAAATATAATTCCAACTGGTTCCCGTGCATGCCAAACCCAACTCCGTGTATTCACGCCGTGCAGTACGACAAGCAGGGGCTGTGTCAGGCAGACCTGGGTGCAGACACCATGCTGCCCTTACGGCTCTGTGCTCCCGGGCACGTTATCTACCTCCGAGCCTCAGCTTCCTCATGTATGACATGGGGATAATCACACACATCTCACAGGTTGTGACGAAGATTGGGGAGATCACCTAGGAGCAGAGCTCAGGGGGTCCGTGGTTAAAGCAAAGTTCTTCCTGAGAACTCACTATTATTTTGGGTTTACATTGTGTGTTAGTGAGTTTTTGAATACTGAAAGCTTAACTTTCACTCCTGAGTTTGTCACTTAACAGTTTGCGTTTAAAGAAAATAAAGCAATTCAAAAACTGCTGCATTTAGGTATCAGGATTGTTACACACAGAGGATGGTATAAAAGGGACCTCAGGCACATTTACGATTGTGATACTCAGTGAGACACCCACTGTTTAAACAAATTCGTAACTTGCTGAACGTTATTTATTTACCCTGTGCTTGGCAGAATGTGCACAGCAAAATTACCTCCATCCACTTCTGAAACGAGTGTTCGTCAGCCACAGTCCCTCCATTACACCCTGAAATTTATTACATTTCAAATAAAATGTCTGTTTCTGACATTTGCCAGCCTCGTGATAGGGTTTCAGTATTGACCAATATTGACTTGTCAGTTTTCTTGACCATAAGCCCCTCAGATCCCATCTTTGTAACTCACAGAGATGTAGCCAGTGGTGGGTCCAGAATTTCTCTTCAGGAGAGGATGAGGTTAAAGGGGAAAATTCAGGAACTTGTCTTGAAGGAGTGTTTATATAGCAGGCACATCTTGGAGGCAAGTCTAGAAAAATAGCAAAGTTCCTTTAGAATTTCACACAGAATTGAAAAATAACAATTGTCCCGATCAAAAGACATTATTAAGATGACTGTTATCATTATCACCAGGTAGCTTTACAGGGGCTGATGGAGACGATGCAGGATGACAAAGCCACCTTTTGGCTGAGTCACTATCCTCCGCCCAGTACCTGGCACACAGCAGACTCTCATGCTGGCCCACCTCTGTCTTGCCAGCTGGATTTTAGAGACTTCTAGACTCAGCTCTCAACAAATGACAAGGCAGAGTCAGTCACTATGCCTTCACTGTGCTGTCATGTGGTACTCTGTCTATCCTGAGACCCTTATGCTCAAAAGCCAGAGACAAAGTAAACACATGAGAAATAAAGGCAACCCAAACCCAAAGAAGGTGTACTACCAACCACAGCTGTGTAGTCCTGGGGGAGGGGCTGCGGGAATGAGGGCAGGGATGGGGCCAGCTGGGATTCATGGGGAAGAAGTCAGGGCGGGGGGTGGGGGGAGCAGCTGGTAGCAGCCCCAGTGGCCATTGTTGCTTGCTGCTAATTGAAAACAAAGGGAAAGGTAAATGTTATGTCAGATCCTCTTGCCAAGATTGAAGTGGTCATCAGGAACCCTCTCAATTTTGTTTAAATTGATGACACCTCCCCAAAGAGTCTAAATGGTTGAGCCACCCCCAGATTCCCAGGTTCAGCCCTTCATTCTTTCCAGGGATAGCTAACAGCCTCGATTTGCCTGTCTCTATGAAGATCTTTCCACCAAGGATGGAAGCAGGAAAAGGAGACTTTTGGAGGTTTTGGCAAGTAGATTCGATGGCCAGGACACCTCCAACAGCTACTCTGCATCCACGTTTCCGATTCGTGGTTGCAGGACCAGGTGCCCTGTGGGAGTCACAAGCCCCTGGGTTCAGCCTCCCAGGTGCCAAAATTGGTCCTCAGAGGGCCTCTGAGTCCATGGACAGACTTCTTAAAAGAACAAAAACGTCTGAAGCTCAGAATCTTCTCTCCTATCCACAGAAGCCATCCTGCAGAGCTGAAACACTTAATGACCATGCATCGTGAGGAACAGGTTTTGTGGGCAGTACTCCCGTACAAACACCCAGCTGCCATTAACTGGCATCGCAGATGTCAATAGGCGAGAACACCAGGTTCTGAACACCAGGAATGTCTTTCTCTCAGATTGGAGGACGATGAGGTGAAAAGAGAGATTTACGCAATGCAAGTGCGCGCGCTCTCTCGCTCTCTCTCGTCTTTCTTCCTTGGATTTTTCTCTATCTTGAGTAAAGTTCAGTTTTCAGAAGATCAAGCCTGGTTGTAAACACAGTCTTTAAAACCTTTGCACTGCTTTACTGCAGAATTTATGATTTGTTTACACTTGAGGCGAGGAGCAGGCAAGAGGGGTAATCCTGGAGCCTTTGGTAGACTACTCAAAAGAAAAAAGGGAATGCTGGATATGTGAATAAAAACGCTTCCTTGTTCTATCCGTGATTTGTGGGTGCAGAATTCTCCCAAAGAGAGAGGTCATGCCCTAAGGAAATTGGCCCAACCAGCCCTTTGTAGCCATTAGAATAAGCCCCTGAGATCTTAAGAGAAACTTCCAGAAATCCACAGATTTCAGGATTTGGAAAATGCATGTGAGAAAATCTGAGGCAGTGCCTCAGCGGCAATCTGGGGCATTGCCAGCACTAATGCCTTCTGGGAACTAAAGGACAATCACCAGCACAGCATGGGGTCTTCCTGAAGTGGATCTGAAGTGGATTTGAGGCCAGGGCCACGATGGACCCTGGAACTGTCCCGGCCACACAGTAGGCCTGGAATGAGCGCTTTCCCAACAGGAACCCAGTCATGATCGGTCCTTTTGGCGAGGACTTTCGAAAGTTAGAGGCCAAAGAGAATGGCTTAGTAGGAATCAAATAATCCAAGATTCTTTCAACATATCACAAAAGATTTAAACTCCTCCTTCACAGTTACAGGACCATTTGTCATCTCAGTAACAGAAGTTTTAATATAAATGCATGGATAATGGAGAGGAATTAAAAGGCCTGGGTTCCAGTGAGAGCTCAGACCTCCTTCCTCCTCACCCCTACTAGTCATGTGACCCCCAGCAAACGCACACGGGCCTCAAGCGCCTCACCAGCAGTCTGGGAAGCTAGTACCTGCCACTCAAAGGTACAATGAGGACCAAACAGCACAGGGGCAAGTGCTGTGAAGAGTTAATCCAATGAAATGTAAAATATTTTTATTACTAATAATGGTGATAATGGCTATGACAAATACTTTTGAGATAACCTATCAGTCCGTCCTCTAGAATGAATGGGTTTTAAAAAGGGAAATGTCCCCCTTTTGTTACCAGGTCCACAATTAAGGCAGCTAGGTAGATAGCTGCAGCTTCTGCAGGTCGGCCCGTCCCTAACTCAAGGCACAGACTGGGACTTCTTTCTTCAGAAGGAATGTTGGGGTCATGGCTTGGAGTGGGCACTGCCACGTTAGTGGAGGAGAACCACTGGGATGGGGTCAGGAAAACGGGGCTCCATGCCTGGCTCTGTCCCTTAACTATATCTCTGAAATTTCAGGACAGTTATTTGATCCCTTTGGACCTCCAATTTTTAGGTCTGAGGTAAACCACAGGTTTCCGAAGTCTTTTCCAGTAATAAACTCCTTTGAGGGGCCGGCCTGGGGGCGTAGTGGTTAAGTCTGTGCACTTGGTTTTGGCAGCCCAGGGTTTGCAGCTTTGGATCCTGGGCACAGACCTACACACTACTCATCAAGCCATGCTGTGGTGGCATCCCATAGGCAAAAAGAGGAAGATTGGCAACAGATGTTAGCTTAGAGCCAATCTTCCTCACCAAAAAATCCAAAACAAAACAATAAAATGTTCATCTGTAAAAAAAAAAATCCCTTTTATTCTCTATCAGATAATAGATAAGTTCAAAAGTAAGAAATAGTTGACTTTAGGATAGTTTTTCATTGTAAGTTGTAAGTTAAGTAACGAAAGGGATTGAGCAGATCTATTGTGAATCAACATCAAGCAAGAATTAACTTGGGTTTTGTTGAAAAGATCTTTTTAGTTACTCTACAACTCACATCAACACTAGGCTTGTCAGCCATTCTTACAGGCTGCACTTTCGGCGTGCTATTTGAAAGACAAGATTAAAAATCTTTAATCATTGATTTAAGGAATTTGAGTAATACTGTTTGGGTTTTTACCAGGCATCTTAAATATTTAAGAGAGAATGTGTCAATATTTGTATTAAACAAAAGAAAGATGCCAGAACACATGTGCCCTGTTGGTTACTGAGATATCCCCCATCGCAGAAAAGAGGTGGATTTTGTTGCCGGCATAAAGCTGCCCTGGCGTCCAGCAGGAAGAAAGAGTGGGAAACAATTTGAGTTAATGTATGTTCTATCTTCTTCAAGCTTCTTTGCTCTGCTAATGTATGTATGTTACAGAAAGTAAATTGATTAGGTCCTAATAGTATGGAGGAAACTCGTTGCTTATAGGTTTAGATTGTATCATATAATTCCAAAACATAAAGGAGATACTGTGAGAAATTGTAAACAATAAAGTTATATAATAATAGAGCACTCATTTTGATCTTTGATCGACAGCATGCCAAACTTCTGGAGAGCTGAAATTCCAAGCAAACCCGAGAAGATGTAAATGACTTCTGAAATGTTTTCAGTCTATTAGGTTCAGGATGCATTTTGCCTTTGCCTGATTTCTGGAAAGCCGCATCATTCACTCACAAGTGCATTCATTCATTCCTGCCCAATAAAGCATGTGCTAGGCTGTGCGAGGTGCCCGCCAGGTGAGAGGGCTGCCTACTCCAACCTGCCGACTTGCTCTCAACACTCCTGCGAATGAGAATCTGTTGCCATGGACTTTGTTTTAGGAAAGGAGTGTGGCAGCTGAATTCTCCTGCTCTCGGCTCTGATCTCTGACTTGAGGGGGGAAATAAGTAAGACGAGGGCAAAAACGGTATGGATTCCCCCAAAGAATACAAGGAGTTAGTCTGTTAGGGTAGGCAGGCATGCTAACAGTGGAGAACTCACTTTCTTGCCCCAAAGACATCCCCTTGTACTTCTTTTAGTAAAACATGTTACCCAGAATGGACCGAGGGGTTTTGTCTGCCTCGGGCACTTCTAGAAAAGTGCTGGCCCCTAGGAGATGTTTAAATTTTGTTGAATATTGACGGAATGTACTTAACACATAAAGTGTGGCTACTTAAAAGTAAAATTTCACCACAGTCTTGGAACTTGATTTATTAACACAAGTCCCCACGCTCACCCATGTTATGGATTTGCCAGAGGTGACAGCTGCAAGGAGCCTTATTTAGTACAATTCCCTTACCTTACAGAGGAGGCATCTGAGGCACCAGCTCACTACAGTGACTATAGCACGAGCGCTGGCCTGGGGGTGGGGAAACTGAGGACTTCAAGCCTACCGTCTCCGTCATTTCCTAGATGGTCACCTGTACGCCTCTCCAGAAATGCAGGAGGCAATGCAGTATGCTGGTTAGGACTATGGGCTCCAACTGAATCCGGGATGTCCCTAACTAGCTATGTGGGCTGAATGTCTCTAAGCCTCAGTATCTCATCTGTAAATGGAGATAAAAATAGTACCCACCACATGGGACTGTTGTGAGGAATAAACGAGGGCAGGCGTGTAATCCCACTGCCCCTGTGAAATGAGGAAAAGAAAGACGACTCTCTGTGTAAAGGACGTTGTACTGTACACGCAGTCCAAGCCAGCACGAGGGATCTCTGCACACCTTGTACACCACGAAGAAATCATAACCATCCTCAGAAGCCTTCGGGCGCACTGGGAGACACTAGAGCCGATCTCTGCTGACAGAAGGCACCCCTCTGGGCATCCTCCCAGCCACTGCCTTTCCCTCCGAGAAGAACCAAGGGGTTGAGGTCTGGGGAGGACACAGATAGTGTCTCGATCTCCCTAGGCCTCCCTGCTGCCGAAGCCTGTTTGGAAGGAAAAAAATGACCCTCAGAAGTGACAAAAAGGCAAACTGGAGAGTAAATGCATTATTGCAGAATATTCCTAAACTCCAGCACTAAAGCAAAAGGATTATTGAACAATGTAAATTTGACATAGCATTTCAGAGAGAGGCTCACAGGGTCTCACCGGGGAAGAGTTTCCATTGCACTTGCCTGCGGCAACTTCAAAACTCTCCAGTACACACTTCTCGGCAAGCTTCTCATCTGCCTCTCCTCCACCACGCCAAGCATTTCTCTCTCTGCTCCTACCCCAGGAAATGCCTGGTCCTATTGGCTCCTCTTTCTCTGTTGGATTTTTCCTCTTCCAGTCCCCCACCTTCAAATTCTTCTTGCCTCCACTGTGTAGAGCTGGTCAGCCCCCACTACTCCATATTCCAAACCTGGTTCATTTTGAAAGATGGCGCCAGCAAGATGGTGTCCATCTAATAACATCCAGCATCACTAGAAGCAGCCGTGGTTACAGACAGCAAAATTTTCCCCATACATCTTAACATTTTGCTTGGATCCCGTAGTGAACATACTTATTGGTCAACCCAGCATCTGTTTGATCCCATTTCAGTTGAACCCATATTCCCCTTCTGGTATCTCCTCCTCCATGCAGTGCTATGCCTCGGTGGAAGCTGACCTTTATCCCAGCTCCAGTGGTGAACCCTGGTGAATCTGAGCCAATTAGAGTACTCCCATCACCTTTGCCAAAATGCTTGGTTTAGGGATGGGTGTGTAACTCATTAGGGCCAATGAGAAGTGACAGGAGACTTTCTGAGAGTTTCTGGGAAAGTAATTTCCTTGCTCTTCTGAGAGAGCTATAGGATGCCAGCTCTCTCCTACTGGACGTAAAGAAGGAGCCTTCACCCTGAATGATGCCGGCTGCCACCCTACAGCCCAAGGAAGTGGCCTTGAGATTGGCAGAGAGAAATGACTGAAAGAACCTGGGTCTTAGATAATGTTTTTGAGCCTCTGGATCTCTAGTCTAAAACCAGTCCTACCTCTGATGTCTAATTACTTAACCAGTTCCTTGCTTAAGCCAGTTTCTGTTGAGGTTTTTGTTTCTCGCTGTCAAAAGCATTCTAACTGATACAGGCCCCATTGTTTCCTACGTACTGATCTCAATATCCAACTAGACCACAAATTCTTGAAGGGCAGAGGTTTAGATTTCTTTTGTACTTCCCACAGCACTTGGGAAACGCTGCATATATGGCAGGAGTTCGAGTGTTCAACAATGGGCTGGTTTGTTACTACAAGATCCTTGAAGTAAAGGCCCTTGGTTTTTGTACATTCACCCCGAGTGTTAGTTTGACCTCAAACACCCATCAATAAACAATCATTAGTTAATGAAAATAATGGCTTTGGATATTCTGGAATTTTAACCATTTGGGAGTCATGATTATAAATTACAACTCTGAGCCTCGGGGAATTTGAACATTCTCCTCCATCTTATCTTCTGTATTCCTAAAAGTCATCTTCGACAGGGGCAGCATCTGGCAAAACCCCAACATTTGTAGGCTCTCGGTGGTTTTGAATAAATGTGTTGTTGAATTTGGAAACATAGCGTTAATGATCATATTAACGAACTTTGAAGAAATAATCCTTTCAAGGTAAATTCAGCTGAAAATTCTCCAAAGTCCAAGATAGAAATAAACACTAGCTTAATCAAGCAACCGGTCAGAGAGCAATGCCTCCTATCCCACAGGGGGTACATTATCTTGTTTCAGGAACCATACAGCAAGCAAAATACTCAGAAGCACCCCAAGCCTTTGAGAAAATCACAGCACACAGCAGCACCGTATAGTCTGTATTCCAAGGATCGACTCTGACCAGACTCAGTGGTGCACATCTTTAGCGAATGCATTTTCACATGCACAGGAAGCCTGCTCAGAAGCCCCGCACATCCTCCTGAGGCCATCAGTAAGACTCTAGATGCACTAAAGGTCCCGGCATCTATGCTGAGCTTAGGGAAAGACGTATTTATCAGGATTTCTTACAACACATTAAAACTCTCCTGTGTTAAACCAGGGCAGTGTCTGGGTAATTTCTTTAAGATTTCATGCAGGGGCCGGCCCGGTGGCGCAGCGGTTAAGTTTGCACGTTCCACTTCTCGGCGGCCCAAGGTTCGCCGGTTCAGATCCCGGGTGCGGACACCGCACCGCTTAGCACGCCATGCTGTGGTAGGTGTCCCACATATAAAGCAGAGGAAGACGGGCACGGATGTCAGCTCAGGGCCAGTCTTCCTCAGCAACAAGAGGAGGACTGGCAGTAGTTAGCTCAGGGCTAATCTTCCTCAAAAAAAGAAGAAAGAAAGAAAGATTTCCTGCATATTTCAGTGATCAATCTGAAAATTTCTATTCCAAGCGCCAAGTCCTCTCTTGAGCCTCATCCCATGCCTGAAATCCCCTACTCCTCATCTAGAACTTTCTCCATGCTGTCACTCTCAGGGCTCCTGAAGTCCCTGATTCTCTGGGAGACAGGGACATTTTCAGGCACGCTATCTGAAAATAAACTTCACAGAATTCCCCATCACTCAACACCCCACAGACTGCATTTACCATAATGGAAATGCTTTATTTAATATAGGTATTTGTCAATGTCTTCAATATGTTTATCTGTATCTGTATTGTATCATCCATCGTGAGTTTCTGAACAGCAAGGATCTCGCCAGATTCACTTAAATTGAACAACAAGGAAAACCACAAACAAATGGGGCTTTCATTCTCCTTCTCCTTTGTTCTGGCATGCTGCTTTTCGGACACCTAGTCGGTAGGCTATCACCAACCTCTGGTCATCTGCTTCTTCTCCCTCCTTCCCCATTTCAAAATGCATCATCCTTTACTCCAGCACCTCTAAGCTCTGCTGTCTGCTAAATTTTCAAATAAGCTACACAATAATGAGCATGCCTTACTATGTTGTCCCACTCAGTTGACATAAAAGCAGGACAAATAATGGGAACTTGAGGTAACACCACAAGGAGAGACATTTTGGCTCTAAGAGCCTGCAGAGGTCCATGAGGCGAGTATCCATTTACATCATTTAAGTGTTAAAGTCAGCCATTAAAAGGGCCCGCCATGACGCCCCACAAAGCGCAGAGTTTAATAGATATTCTTAGTAACAGGACAATAATAACAAGAATCACTTTCCTGGACATGTTTCTTTTACTGTTTACAACCCACTTTCACATATATTATCTTATTTTGATAACGATGATGATACAGACATACACATGAAAATAAAACCTTAGAAGCCAAGTGACTCTTTAAGCATGACACTCAGCATGCTACCATACAGGACAACGAGGCCAGTTGGTTTTTTTAAAGGTAATTTTTTCAAATTTAGGGAAACTGCTATGTTGTTTGTAGATTCACTCTTCCACTTCCTCTAGTTAGGCAGAAAGGGACTTGAAGCCATTCTCATCTTATTTTCTATTATATGACCATCTCCACATCTTGGAATGCTTGTGGGAGGGAAGGAGAAGCTATTTCTTCCTGCTAAGAAACCTGATAGCAAGGCAAGCAACATGTCAGGAAGCAGTGTTCTTCAGCAGAGGAAATGCTATGACACTTCGACCCTCAAGGACTACATAAAGGGAGACAGCCCTCTGCAGCCCCTCCCCCACAACCCATTTCCCCATTTAGGGCGGAATGAGGCAAGGGACTTCAGGCAGAGGGTGGAAGCTGGGGACGCAGGAAATTTGGGATTGATTTCGCCAAGCCTCACCAGCATGTTAGACCCAACCCAAGAGTTTCCAGCCAGGACCTCTACACCTTCACACAAACATAAACACTGCAGGGTGTGCCTGCCCAACCTCCAGGTGCTAGTGCAATTCCTGCCTTCTCCCCAAACACACATTCACAGCTCCCCAGGTTCCAACTGGGAGTAGGAGGCAGAGAGTGGAAAGGCAGGTCAATCAGATACTTAGACGTGAAACATCCCAGGTGTGAGGCGAGAGGCCAGGTGGCTCTGCATGAAAGAAAGGTGACAGATTTTGTTTATCTAGATAATGCAGGAGGGGAAGCCTGGCATACTCAGATACCTGTTTCTCTATTCCTTTCATCCAAACCGAAAGTTCAACTCCTCAATCATGGAAAAGATAGGATTTCACAACACCTTGTGAATATAACAAATTCTAGCTACAGCCTACCAAAATCTTCCTCTTCAAAAATACCCCAGGAGACATAAAGGCTAGTCAGGTAAGGTTTTATAGGAGGGAGACCAAAGGGAATTGAAGAGTATTGCACAGTTCACTTTTTAGTGTTTCCAAAGCTTTGCTCCACAGAATACGTGGGGTTCCATAGTCAGACTAGCCAAGCAAATGCTACATGTGATCTCCCTCTCATGAAAATTCCCGATGCTTACGAGCATATTCAATGCTTTTTGGATGGATAGATAGATAGATGAATGAATGGATGGTTGGATGGATGGCTAAAATAAAATCTCTATATCAAAAATGTATAAGATAAGTGTTGGCAAGGATGTGGAGAAAAGGGAACCTTTGCACACTGTTGGTGGGAATATAAATTGGTGCAGCCACTATGGAAAACAGTATGGAGTTTTCTCAAAAAATTAAAAATAGACCTACCATATGATCCAGCAGTTCCACTTCTGAGTATATATCTGAAGGAAATGAAATCATTATCTCAAAGAGATATGTGTACTCGCATGTTCATTGCAGCATTATTCACAATAGCCAAGTCCATCGACTTATCCATCGACTAAATGTCCATCGACTATCAAATAGATAAAGAAAATGTGTCCATTGACAGATGAATGGATAAAGAAAATAATAATGGAATATTATTCAGCCATGAGAAAGAAGAAAATCCTGTCATTTGTGACAACATGGATGGACCTTGAGGGCGTTATGCTAAGTGAAATATATCAGACAGAGAAAGACAAATACTGAATGATCTCACTTGTATGTGGAATCTAAAAAAAAACTGAACTCATAAAACAGAAAACAGATTGGTGGGTCCTGGGGGCAGGAGGCGGGGTGGTGGAAGTAGGGAGATGTCGGTCAAGGGGTACAATCTTCCAGTTATAAGATGTATAAGTTCTGGAGATTATAACATACAGCATGGTAGCTATAGTGACAATACTGTATAATACTGTATATTATTACTTGAAAGTTGCTAAGAGAGTAGATTTTAAAAGTTCTCAACACATGCAAAAATACCATACCTCTGTGAGGTGATGGATGTGTTAACTAACCTTATCGTGGTAATCACTTTGCAATATATAAATATATCAATTCACTATGTTGTACACCTTAAACTTAAACAATGTTATATGTCAATTATATCTCAATAAAGCTGGAAAATAAAATAAAAATCTCTAGCCCCTAGGTGGTTGCATCTGGGTCTGTCCAGCTGGAACCTTTAGGTTACCGACAGTTCCCTTTGTGAGCGCTAAGTACCTACCGACACAGTTACGTCGGAGACAGCCGATGCTCTTTGATGTTTAATAGTCTGCCAACCTAAGATCTCTCACATATCTTTAAAAGCTTGTGTCTGTTTGACACCTGCAGGCTGAACAGGCCCAGAAGAGTTAAATAGCAAATTCAGCAGTCGAGATAACAGGCATTTGCCAGAAAAGTTACACATTAGAAACTTCTTACAATAAACCTTCTCTGGGGGAGGATGACATCATTTTAAGTAGAATTCCAGGGACCACTACAATTCTGGCACATACTCAATACACGTTTGTTGAAGGAACACATGAAAGAATAAACGAATTTCAAACCATCACTCTGAGACTGAATTTGCAGACACATGTGCCAAGCTTCCTGTCAGTCCCTTTTCCAGCTACGCTCATGCTCACCAGCTTCATGGTACCACCAACTAGAAGAAACAATCTCAGAAAGATAGGGGAACGGACTTCTCATTTTTATTAAAGTCTATTTGTTCCCACATCTTTATGACTTTCAGAAATTGAGCTCTTGCTGGCCGGCCCCATGGCCAAGTGGTTAAGTTCTCACCCTCCGCTGTGGCGGCCCAGGGTTTCGCCGGTTCAAATCCTGGGCACAGACATGGCACCGCTCATCTAGGCCATGCTGAGGTGGCATCCCACATGCCGCAACTGGAAGGACCCACAACTAAAAATGTACAACTATGTACCAGGGGGCTTTGGGGAGAAAAAGGAAAAATAAAATCTTTAAAAAAAAAAGAAATTGAGCTTTTAAATTTCCAGCCCTGTCCATTTCTAGGAAGGCAGTGAAATCACTGAGTTCCATTCCTAGAAGACCTGAGTCATGCCCCCCTGATCCTGGTACACAGCACTTTCAAATGGTTCTCTCAGCCACTGATCTGCTGACATCTCAAACAAATGATATGTACAAAATGGATCTGAACTCAGGCCTTTACTTCCCATGGTCAGAGAACTGAGCAAAAGAAGCCAGTGAAGTGAATAAAAACAAAGTGGGGAGAGGACACGACATAAATGCTTGAGGCAGCCTCTCGGTTGCTTACCGTTGGCCATGGTTGTCTGGCTCTCCTCTGCATGGCCCGGTCACCCTGCTCCCTCCTGCACTCTGCTGAGCTGGGAAAGGCAGCCAGACGTGGAGCTGACACTCACTCTGGACGCTATACACGCAGCACCATACCTGTCCCTTCCCTGGTCCACTCCCCACTTAAAATAATGCATTCAGCACAACAGTGTGCACATACTTAACGCCATAGATCTGTACACTTAAAAATAGTTAAAACGGTAAATTTTATGCTATGTATATTCTTGCCACAATTTTTAAAAATGAACAAAGACATGTGCTCATTACCAATTGACATCTGACCTTATTAACATCTAGAATACAGTGGAGGACAAGTTAGCTTTTATTATAATAACAATAGTTAACATTTATTGAGCCCTCACTAGGGCTCTCATTTAAACACAATCGATCCACAGAAGAACCTGATGTGGTAGAAACTGATATTATCTCCATTTCATAAATGAGGAAATTGTGGCACAGAAAGACAAAGTCACTTGCCCAAAGTCACACAGTAGTAATAGCGGATGTACCAAGAGACACTAAAGACATAGATAAGCAATTCATGTAATTTAATTAAAAGGTAATTTAAACATTTATGTTTATCTATTGAAAATCTACAAAAATGCTCAT